TTTACAGAGAGATATCAAAGAGCAAACATCTGGAAGTGAGTAAGCCAATTGCTGAAAGTCAACAAAAATGTCCAATAAAAATGAGAAACAAAAACAGCAGACGATTAGACAACTCGGTAATAAAACTCAAGCACCTTGTTGTTCGGCACAGCGCACGTGTAGAATCTTCACTGAAAGAAAAGCAGAATTATAAATAAAATTGGGCCACAAAACACATTACTGAACGATTGAAAATGGGTAGCAAAATAAACATATAAGACTCAGATAATCGTGATCCAGTTCCAGTAGATCAAAACAAAGAAATAAAAGTGTTTCATGACAGGTGAATTTCGTTTGCGGAAAATGATTTTCTGCTTACACATGCTCGTAATTATATACACAAAAAAAAATACATTTTTATCTACAACCGTAGACTAAGTTTGATTGCCGTGAACGAATGATGGTTTAAATATTGCTGGCATTTCTTCCAAAACGACCGGCGATGAAAACGTCACAAGTACGTACGTAATTTTTAATACTTTATCGATTAGACTTAAAAATATATAAATTTCATAAATAAAATTATAAATGAAGTAGATACTTTCTTTTACTTTCTTTTACGTTTGAAATCCTACTAGTAGGTTTTTCTGATTGACGAAATTAAGATATTTATGAAGTAAATTAGACTCCAGAAATTTCGGAAACAGTGGTAAAACTGTAAGAAAGGTGACAAAATAGCACATGTTAATGTATTTACCTAAGGATTATACGTATTACATATGTACGTCACTAATCAATATATACGGATTAGCCCAGATTTGAACTTGACTGACAGCGCAACAGCCTTTGAGACAAAATAAAATGTATACAGCAAACCGTACTCGTGCTAGTAAACTCTAGTGCGTAGTTTCTCAAAATTATATTATGTATATTTATATTATATTCACAACATTTATAAAAGTTCATAGTTACAGCGCCTTAACCAAATCATTTTCATTTTTTTAGTTTTCATATGTGAACAAATCTGATGAGATGTTAAAATTCCCAACCGGCATTTAAGACCAAACAGAAGTGTAGTTGCAGCATCATCGCCGAATTCGCGCAACCGTCGATTTCATGATGATCATGTCACGGCGCATGATTCACACTACTGAACGTTAGCTCAGTGTTTTTATCACGAAGTGTGCCTCTTTGTGTGTGTAAGAGAAAAAGAGGGAGTGGGGGCGGCCTCCAGTTGTTCGTCACCGTGTCCGCTCGACCACGTGACATCAGACCTGGAACTACTACGTAGATGTGTCGTAACCAGGGGCAACACTTTGTCGTGCCGGCAGACATTTAATCTCTCTCTCTCTCTCTTTCTCTCTCACTATAGCCTGTCTCACGAACGAGTGCAATTATATTTTAAACAGTTTTAAAAGTAGTCTTGTTTAAAATTATTTCCGTGGCAAAATATATTCTGTTGACATACTGAGCAGGTTGACAGCCGAGTGTGTTTATGTAAACATCATCTGTGATTGGTGAAAAAAAAGGGGGGGGGGAGATGCCACTGTAACCATGAAAATAACTCTATACAGGTTAGTATTTAATTGAGTACAAAACACTGACTGTTACCAAGTTTAAATAATTTGGGCGTTGAGATGTTCATAAATATGTATTAGAGAAAGGTTTATATAAATTTATAATATTGGAATAAAACTCATGAAGTAATGAAAATATTGGCCTCGATTACTCGTTACGACAAAAGTCTGTACTGACCAGCACGAGACAAAATATATTAAATCGAGCAAAGTGGCTTGTTGTCCGTACAGCACTCGGACACCCCAAAAGTCGGCCCCTATGCACGGTTATAGGCTGTTCATAGTAAAGTGAGCACTTTTGAAGCCCTAGTTACTGTTTATTTGAGTCATTGTTTATCCTTTAACCACTTTTATTTTACATAAATATTGCCCTTTAAGTACTAACCACAGTGTGTATATTCCACTGCACTCGGGAGTTAACGTATAAGGCTAAAATAAAATATATTTATAGACTACTATTCCAAATGAGACTGCTTTCAAAAGTGCTCACTTTACCGTGAATAGATTATAGTCTGGTTGCTCGATGTTATTTGTGTGGTATGACTATGAGAGACCCTGCCGATAGCTGGAGCAGACTGAACTTCCACTGGCACACCCCTGTCTCATTGGCTCCTTGCCCACAGTGTCCACTGACGACGTCGTATACATCACAGAGTGAATTAGTGCAGCTTAATATCATCACATAACACGATTGGATAAATCATTACGTAGTCTTAATATGAAAGGAAGATATGCAAGAAAATGCATGTAAAAGTTTAAAGACTGTTGTAAAAGTACAGAGTGATATTTTTTTCGAGGCTATCACAGCAGCCTATAGAAAACCATGAAAAACCGAACATTGACGAGCTTAGATAGTTTCAACGTAGAGCTAATTAAATTTGGGGACATATTCCATCTTAGACTTACATCTCTTCAACATAAGTGGGAAGGAGAAATAATTTTTATAATTCTGAAGAAAACGAAAGTTAATATAATTTAAAAAAGGTGACAAAACCAACGGCAATAACAACAAAGGTATATTTCTACATTATGTTAGCTTTAATTAATAAGAGTTGGTGTTATTTATAGTTGAATGGTTACTTGCTGAGACACTTAAAAAAATTACAACAAGAAAATAAACTCGTTAAATATTTTAAAACACTGATGCTTTCCCAACCTTGTTATATAAAAGTGAAATGCGGATGTCAAATAAGATGCAAGAAAGAGATGCTCAGAGGATAGAAGTTAAATTCTTAGAAATTGTTAGGGGATGTGAAAAAAAAAATTAGAAATGTTTGTATTAGAAAGAAATTAAATATCTGCGATGAAAAAGAAAAGAAAAAGACGAATACAGAAGATGGAAAACTTCAAGCCTCAAGGGAAGAAGAAATGTTGGCAGACCGAGGGAAAAATGGAAACGGTAACAGGCAGTAGAGAGCCTAACAAAGAGTGTGAAGAAGAACATTTTTCTAACTATAGGCTGTTCACGTTAATCAACCGACCAATCAAACAGAGCTGGCCACTCTGATTAAGGAATGTTTCTGGCGTAGGGGCGAAAGATTCGTAGAATCTGACGCCCTCCAGGATGCCATCCGCACATACGGGAGGCGTACTTTTGATTACAGTAAGCCCTTCAATGGGTATACTGTGGTCAGGTACTAGTCCTTCTCTTTCGGCAGGCATCCTACCACCAGTTTGGTCACGCCACACAGATGTGACACGCCCCTCCCTCGGGAGGGGCCTGGCCGGGTGGAGGAAGGATCTGGGTGGAATTCTTCGAATGGAAGGACCTTTCGAACAGGATTGGAGCAAACAGGGAATTAAGGGGATGAATTCCTTCCCATCGAGCCTCCAACCGCCCGGCCAGTAGCAAATACACCCGATAAAGATTTACCCGGATATGACGTTATGCTGAGCAAAGCTCAAGCATATTTTACTGGACAGACAAAGCTGAAAGTACATGTATGAGTTCACTAACAAAGATAATGGCAAAGCGGAACAGCGCGCAGCGATGGTTTTGAATGAGTCTGTGTGTGCATGAGTGCCGATTAGAAGTGAGTTTTTGGGTTTTTGTAACTAGCTCTTTGCGTCTGGTGGCGAGGTGGAGGGGGATGTTACTGGTTACCGGACATCCCCCGAAACTAAGCCCATCACAACCCAGACGCACTGAGCGGAGAAAGCAGTTATGGGAATACCGTCATGCTTATATTCAATCGAGTAGGATTTGCGATGTCGCGTATTTAGTTAGTGTGCGAGTGAGTAGATTAGTAGTAGTGTTCTTTTTCAACTTTCGGGCAGCATGACGGTTTCAAAATTGCAAAGTTCCCGGTGGTTACCTGAGACCAAAACAGCCGATTTAACTTTTTGTTTGTGGGGGCTAAAGTAGCTTGGTTAGAAAGAAGCGCTCCAGGTATGACGTTTAATAGGTAACGGCCACTTGGAGGGGAGGTTTGGAGAGGCCAGCGCCGGTTCCACCGGGAACTTTGTTCACGTTAAAATGAGCACTTTTGAAAGCCCTGCTTAAGATCTACTTATATGCACGTTGTGTAGTCTTCCGCCTTACTTAAAATTAACATTGCCATGGGTCTCATCGCTTTATTCATGCGTTGGTCAAGTGAAACTGTGGAATTATTATAAAAGTTAATATTTTACAAATCTGCTTACAGAGGAGGAGTTGAACGGACCAGGAGACCAGAATGGCTCGCACTAAGCAGACACCCTGTAAGTCGACGGGAGGTAAAGCCCCACGAAAGCAACTCGCTACGAAAGCTGCTCGCAAGAGTTCCCCAGCTACAGGGGGAGTGAAGAAGCCACATCGCTATCGGCCTGGCACTGTTGCTTTGAGGGAGATCAGGCGCTACCAGAAAAACACCGAACTGCCCATCCGCAAGCTACCCTTCCAGCGCCTGGTAAGGGAGATTGCGCAGGACTTCAAGACCGACCTGCGCTTCCAGAGATCGGCAGTTATGGCTCTGCAGGAGGCGAGTGAAGTCTACCTGGTGGGGCTGTTCGAGGACACCAACCTGTGTGCTATCCACGTCAAAAGAGTCACCATCATGCCCAAGGACATCCAGCTGTCCAGGCGCATACGTGGGGAGCGTGCCTAGACACCTCGCCATTCTCTGCTGCACGCAAGGGAATAAAAATAATTGAAATAGTCACAAATGGTTACCTAACACTTTTCATTCGACGTTGAGATACGGAATTACTTTCCCTTCGTCGTTACCAACTTTACTAGGCGCATGCACTCAGTACACCCGTTAAAATATTATGCAGGTAGGATCAGTGACATTTTTCTAAGGTTGAATTCAAAAGTGCTCACTTTATCGTGAACAGCCTATATCCCCGTATCATACATTCGACTTGGCTACCAAAAAAACACAGCTAGCACTGGAGAACAAATATATATTTAAAACAACATTTAGTTAAGCCACGAGTGACAAAAAAAAACTACCCAAAATGAGATGTTCCCGCCCGGGATCGAACCAGGGACCTTGCGCGTGTGAGGCGTGCGTGATAACAGCTACACTACGGCAACAGATGACAGCAACACACAGTGAGTGTGTGTGTTAATATACGCACACACACACGCATGCATGCATACGAATACTGCTGTGGTATATCTGCGAGGAGAATTTTTTAGCTCCTTTGAGAAGACGGTCACGTTCCAGATCGTTCGGTGCTGCAACAAATGCGTCGCGTGAGACATGCGTTATTAAAGCGTTAAAGCTAACTAGCCGTTGATTCCGCACATCTAAAGCGAACCTCAAAAATGAATACATTATACTTTCTGCATACATTTCAACGCCGTTTTCTTCTACATGCATATAGCTTTAAATAGTCTTCTTACTCTGTGTATTTACTTTATAATCATACAGTGAAATCTCTAAAACTCGACACTCGGTAACACTACATTCCTTAAAACTCGACAGCTTTACAAGCTTTACGGCATACGGGCCAAACGGTATGCATTATCGTTCAAGTCTAATTTAAAAGAGATAACCATAAAAGGACTATATTTTTTCACAAATAATTTTACATTTTCGAACAAGAAAATACTGTAAGTTTAACTATTCACGTTGCCAAATATAATATTCCATTACATTAATTTACATTTTCTAAGTAGTTAAATTTTTGTATCCAGTGATACGTAATTTTTGTCGTTTATTATTTCGTATTTTGTGTTAATATCTCTCATATTATAATGAGATAATGTGAGTTTGTTTATATGTAATGGCTAATATCGGAAACTACACACCCGATTATTATAATTCTTTCACTTTTAGGAAGCTACATTCTTCCAGATGGACATCGGCATGTTAAATAAAATTTAAAAAATTCCTTGAAAAATTTCTAAATTTCAAAAACCAAGTCGGAGAAAAATGAGCTACTGGGCTGCTTTCTAAGCATGCGCTAACTAAATCACTATTAAAGATAAATTGGAAGAATGTTAAAAGAAAGTGTGTATCTTAATATGAAAAATTCGCAAGTGGTTGCAAGTAGTCGCGAGTAGTCCCAAGTAGTCGCAGGTAGTCGCAAAGAGTCGCAGGTAACCGCAGGTAGTTACAGGTAATCGCAAGTTGTTACGGGTAGTCGCAGATAGTCGTGGGTAGTCGCGGATAGTCGCGGGTAGTCGCGGGTAGTCGCATATAGTCGTGGGTAGTCGCGGATAGTCGCAGCTCATCGCGGGTGGTCGCAGGTAGTCGCGGGTAGTCGCAGGTAATCGCAGACAGTCACAGGTCGTCGCAGGTAGTCGCGGGTAGTCGCAGGTAATCGCAGGCAGTCGCAGGTAATTGCAAGTTGTCGCAGATAGTCGCAAGTAAACACAAGTTGTTGCGGGTATTTGCAGGTAGTCGCGGAGAGACGCAGCTCATCGCGGGTGGTCGCAGGTAGTCGCGGATAGTCGCAGGTCGTCGCAGTAATCGCGGGTAATCGCAGATAGTTGCGGGTAGTCGCGGGTAGTCGCAGGTAGTCGCGGGTAGTCGCAGGTAGTCGTGGGTAGTAGCGTATTGTCGTAGGTCGTCGCGGGTGGTAGCAGGTAGCCTCAGGTAGTCACGGATAGTCGCAGGTAGTCGTGGGTAATCGCAGGTAGTCGCGGGTAGTCGCGGGTAATCGCAGGTAGTCGTGGGTAGTCGTGGATAGTCGCAGGGCCATCGTGGGTGGTCGCAGGTAGTCGCGAATAGTCACAGGTCGTCGCAGTAGTCGTGGGTAGTCCCAGGTAATCGCGGGTAGTCGCAGGTAGTCGTTGGTAGTCACGGATAGTCGCAGGTCGACGCAGTAGCCGTGGGTAGTCTCAGGTAGTCGCGGGTAGTCGCAAGTAGTCGTGAGTAGTCGCGATAAAAATATTTTCGGTAATGAAGTAAAACCTGAGCGAAACGCTGGCGGGCTGCTAGTCTGATGATAAACTGTCTTTGTTTATACTTTGCTTCAAGTAATAGGTTCTTAATTACATATTCGTCCATAACTCCGTAAAACTCGACTATTCTGTAACTCTACACCTTCATTATCTACATTAGGTCGGTTTTCTGATGTTCTACTGAATTTTGTTCTTGCTAAAAACTGTCGATAGCATTGTCAATTAAACGCGAAAATTAATCATTACAATACAAAAATCTACAATGATAAAAGGATATCTGACAATCTGCCACACAGACTTAAAAACACTGGCGAGAACTCATATTTTCCCTATAAACTGTCCGCTCTCCTTCTTTAAAAGTTCTACTACGGTGTTGAGGAGGTCTTATTAAATAAAATTTAGAATTTCAGTCTTTTCATGGCAAGGACACGCATAAATTGATTTAGTTGTTGTGTATTAAGTTAATATGTGTAATGTTTAATATACTGCTACAAGACGCCTGTAGGGCATCAGAGTTCGTGAGGGATGGAGGTCTTAATAAAAAAAAATTAAAGAGCTAAATTTTATTGTTAATAATATTCACACAGTTATTATTTAGGGCATAAAATTATCTATCTTACAAGCTGTGTTCGAATTCACTGCCAAGCAACTGTGTGCCTTCGTTACCCACAATATCTCACACCCCATTGTCTCTATGTTCAACCGTGGTGTGTAATACTTAATTCGAACACCATACCAAACACTTGTTCTCTTAGTATTGTTTGTAACCTCAAACATAAAAGTAAATTAAGTTGTTATTGATCAATTACCAAAAACATACGTCGATACGTTCCCTTTTTCTCATGCTTTCTTTATAGACAACAGTGTGCTGCAAGTGACAGGAGTGTGTGGAGTTTGGGTGACTCTTTACAACGAGGTCTTGAGAACCAACGAGGGGGAAATGAGGTTTATATGGAGCAGCATCGGAATGCAAAGTCGGGGGAAACGGGAGGTCCCCGGGGAAACCCACCGACCAGCGGCAAATATCCGGGGGTGAGACCGCTGGGAATGGAGCCCTGTTCGCCTCAGTGGGAGGCAAATGGCGGGAAGAAGCGGTTCTGCTGACACAGAAGGTGCCATGAATAGTTGAATAACGTAAAGCGTTATGTAGAGCTCGTGATGGGGACATTGTCCTTGCCCTTTGCTGAAGTGGCTATTCAAATGTGCATTCCACCTTTTAGTTTGAATTCGAATTCCGATACAGTGACACCACCTCTCCGGTGCACTTTTGAAAGTAACCGAGCGAGCTGAGGGGCACTTATCATTCATGTGAATTCGACCACGGTGACTGTTAGTTCGATCGACCCATGAATAACGCGACAGGGTCCATGGCCGGCAATGATTATATTATTCACATGGCGGAGAAAGACAAAACAGAATTAATATACGTTAACAAAAATTATGTATGTGTTTGCAACAACAGGTATTATTATATATTATTCGAATTCCGTACGTAGCGTTTCCGTAGTGTAGTGGTTATCACGTGCGCCTCACAAGCGCAAGGTCCCCGCTTCGATCCCGGGCGTAAGCATTTTCTAATTTTTTAAACAACGGCTGTTCAACTGAAATTTTCGACAGTGGCGTGACTTTTAACAATTTTATTAGTCGTGGCCGAGCAGCGGCGGAGTAAGCATCGCGTCCGGTGTGCGGAGTTCTGTCGCCCCGCGCTCTTAAACGGGGCTCTGTTCCGACGCGCGTAGTAATAGTTCTATATTAGTGTCAGTCACGTCTAGGTTTGTCCAATATGTCTAATGTGCGCTTGAATACCTTGCGTATCGTGTTTGCCAAACGACCTTCGGCCATGGAAATACATGAATGGATCAATACGGTTTTAACTGTAACAGAAGATCAAATTGAAGCTATTCAACTGGATGGGCACCAGAACTGTTTGTTTTTAAAACTTGTTTCCTCTGGACCTTGTGAAGCGATACTGCGTCGCACCAACGGCCAGTCAACTTTAGTCACCGCAGACCAGGAAAGGATCAACGTCACCATCGAACAAGCTTTCGACGACTTAAAACTGGTAAGAGTTCTAAATTTACCTATAGAAATAGACAACCAAAAAATTCAGACGGAGTTAGTGAAGTATGGTCGACTTGTTACATTACAAGATGAAGTATGGAATCATAAATACAAATTCCAAGTAAAAACAGGAGTACGCATGGCAAAGATGGAAATAAAAAAAAAGACGTTCCATCTTACGTTTCAGTTGACGGCTTTCGGGCTGTAATGATATATCCCAGACAACCACGAACGTGCAGTTACTGCCAGTCTCCTATTCATGAACGAATTGTGTGTCCTAGTTTGCAAGAAAAGGACGCATGTGCAATACGCCGCTGGGGGATGAATAGGGCAACGGAAAATCCCGCAGCTGACAAGCCTATACTGTCCACCCCTGCCCGGCACTCTCCTCGAGCGGATTACCCTCCACTTCGCAGACGCGAGCAGCAAGGTCCAGTACAAACACCTGTCGGTGTCTCATCTGCTGAGCATGCGGTCAACCTCAACACCTTAGTGACCGCGCCACGCCAGATACACGTGGAGGCTGCTCAAAATACTGTTACTGCTCGCGCAGGGCTACCACCACACACACAGGATGTCTCGCCGCTGCACATTCCATTGTCCTCTGCTTCATGGGTGGACAGCATGGGCGTGGAGAGCGTAAACAATGCAACCACACGACGGGAGCATGTAACAACCACGGATGAAAATATTTCCGTAAGAGAAAAGCGACCTTACGAACGTGACGCCCGGGCCACAAGAGTGAGTCCTGTTCGCAAAGCGAAGGTGTTATCGTAGAGTGAACAATCACAGCTACAAGACAGAAATGAATCTTTGGAACTAACAAAGGCCGTTATAAATAAAATGTGTGCCTCTAGCCAAGAACGTCCTGATAACCGAACTAACTAACAATACGACCGGCACATGTGTGCATCCCCACCTGTATGTGTCAGGACGAATAAACGATGTGTCGCTAGTCAATGTTTATGCTCCCTCCGGCTCCCAAGCGAGATCTGAAAGAAATCAGTTTTTCTCCGTGGATTTCATTCCGTTTTTCCATCCACCCTGTAATCAGTTCATACTCGGTGGAGATTTCAACTGCATAGTTCACCCCCATGATCATCAGGGTGGCATCTATCCTA